TTTTTTCTTCATCCATCAGGGCCCTTTTTTTTCCCACGCCTCTACACTTGCAGCACTAAATATCTTTCAATAAAAAATGTTAGGAGTATCTTTTTAAAAATATTTAGACAAAGTTTCTCAGAATTAATTTAGATTATATTTGTATGTTTAGTCTAGTTTCTAAATAGACTGAATCAATCGAATCAAAACTACCTGACTTCATAAAATAAGTGATTTATTAATTTGTTCAAACCTAAATGAATTAGACGGGTCACGATTTTAAGGGGCCGCCCCTAATTATATCATACAACTCCGAAATATACATGAGTGTAGAATAGTTTTCTATTATTCCAACTTTTAAGGAGTTTAGGTTATTCCCTTACTAATTGACAATTTGCAATCTAGTGGATATGAGTCCAAATATTTGAGTGTTCATAGGGTTAAATTTACACATTTAACCAAATGTTGCTCCAAGTACTTAAAAGCCAGAGCTTGTAAAGAGATGCAATTTTGTAGCAACGCTTTAAAAAATAAATCATATGAATAAATGATATGACTAATAATCCATCAGACATTCGACTAGTAACTTCATTAGAAAGCCTGAAATATAATCATGTCTAACTATTTTACGATGGTCTCTTTTTAAATTTTGAAGTCATTTTGTGAAATTGTAAAATTATTAAGCACTAATCCACGCATTTCACAATTTTTATTCGACTTCTTACGTAACTGTATAGGCGATAGAAAAAATTCAATTAAAATGACCTCGTGTTATGTAATGTACTAATATTGTATAATAGTGTATAATTATGTATGTATAATGTAAACTAACAAAAACAATCAAATTAAAATAACGCATGTTATGTAATATATTGATATTGCATAAATAATGTATAACTGTATATATATGATATATGATGTAAACTATGTATCACAATTCACGGATGATTGAAAACTTACCTTGTTGGCTTCTTGCAACGGAGTTTTGTTTCCAGTGAACTCGCCTGTAACAACATTAACGAATGATAATTTTAGGTAATAAGTGATAATTGAGTTATTTAGGATAAAGAATTTTGACTCAATGGATATTTGATCTAATTTTCTCTTCTTCTTCTTTTTTTTTTTTTTTAAATAAAATTGTTTTTCACATGTTTTGCTGCTGTGAAAATTCGATCGTATTCATTTCCACATTACTACCTTGAATGGTCACTCAAATGATATATGCAAATATGCCTTGCCTCAGTAAAAAATATAAAATTTGTAATCTTGAAAATAAAATAATTTATCAGTCAAAACACAAAAAAAATGACTTGATGACGTAAACATTCCTTAAAGTGAAGAGGTGTATATAACTTAAACTCTTCCTATTATATTTTGTTGTATTGTCTTTTTCTTGTTAAGTATCAAAAAATTCTAGGCCTTCTAGTTGTTTAAAACCTTTCGCAACTAGTCTAGCCTTATATTTATCAATAGAACCATCCGGTTTCAACTTTTTTCTTAAGATCCATTTGCAACCAATTGTTTTACAACCTGGTGGTAAATCCACTAACTTCCAAGTTTTATTAGAAATCAGTGATTCCATTTCATCATTTACAGCCTCTTTCCAAAATATAGAATCATGTGAAGATAATGTTTTTTTCAAAGTGAGAGGGTCATCTCCAACATTAAACACATAAAAATCAGGACCAAAATCTTTTTCTACTCTAGCTCTTTTACTTCTTCTTAACTCAAAATCATCAACTTCTTTATTTTTCAAAGTAGAAGTAGAAGAACTAGGTAGTGACAAAATATTTTGTTCAATCCTTTGACCCCCACTATTTTTAGAATCAAAAGGAAATTTATTCTCATGAAAAATAGCATCACCCGATTCTATCACAATATTATCTTCAAGATTAAAAAATCTATAAGCTGTACTATTTGAAGCATAACCAAGAAAAGCACAAGTAGTAACTTTCTTACCCAACTTTGTAATCTTGGAATCCATTAGCCTCACAAAGGCTAGACAACCCCAAACTCTTAGATATCCCAAACTTGGCTTGTAACCTTTCCACAATTGAAAATGTGTCAATTTAGACTTTTTATGAGGCACACGATTCAACACATAACATGCAGTTAAAATAGCTTCACCCCAAAAATTTAATGGTGCATGCGACTCAATAAGCATGGCATTAGTCAATTCAACCAAAGTTCTATTTTTTCGTTCTGCTACTCCATTAGATGAAGGAGAGTAAGGAGGAGTAGTTTCATGAATTATTCTCAATGATCTAACAAAAGAATTAAACTCATTTGACTCATATTCACGGCCTCTATCACTTCTAATTCTTTTTTATTTTTCTTCCAAACTGATTTTCAACTTCATGGAGATGAGTTTTGAAATTTTCAAAAGCATCACTTTTATTTTTCATCAAGTAAACATATGTAAACTTAGAAAAATCATCAATGAAAGTGATAAAATATCTATTACCTCCACGAGTTAAAACTCCACCAAGTTCACAAATATCAGTATGAACTAATTCTAACAAATCAGTTTTTCTTTCAACTTGAAAATGAGGCCTTTTAGTGATTTTGGCTTTACTACAAGCCTCACACTTTTCAAAATTCTTTTTAATCATTGGAATTAATCCTAAGCTACTCATGATTCCAACATAACGATCATTAATATGACACAAACGAGCATGCCAAAAATTGGTAGAAGAAAGCATATAAACAAGAGTAGAAGTTTTATTCATTTCAACATTCAATTTGAACATCCCATCACATGCATACCCCTTTCCCACAAAAATACCCTTCTTCACTATTACATATTGATTAGACTCAATAATCTGTTTAAAGCCTGCTTTATTAAGAAGAAAACTAGACATTAAATTTTTCCTCATAGGAGTATAAAGTACATCTTTCAAAGTTAATACTCTTCCAGAAGTAAAACACAATTTGACATCTCCCTTTCCAAGCACTTGAGTAGTGTGAGCATCACCAAGCATGATGGTTTTGGCTCCTCAAAATGAGTATATTTCTTAAACCAGTCTTTGTCATGACAGACATGACGGTTTGCACCAGAATCAGCCCACCATCCATCAACATTCTCAACCATGTTTATGTCGGTAATCACCGCCACAAAAGTTTCTTCGGTAACGTTTGCATGAGGGTTAGGACCACGTTTCTGGAATCTGCAAAATCAAGCAATATGCCCACTCTTGCCACAAACAAAGCACGGTCCTTTGTCTTGAACTTGTTGATTTTGTGCTTGGTTATTTTCACCATTATTTTTCTTGGGAGGTCTACCATTATTTTTCTTGAACTTTTTCTTCTTAGGCTTCAAAGAAGTACTTTTGTGAGATTCAGGAGTAGCATTATTTGAAGTAATTAAATTTACCTTCGTTGTGATGTTGTTCTCTTCTGTTTGTAAAAGTGCATCTTGGCCCCTTGCCTCTTCTTCCATGCGGATTTTCATTATCAAGGTTTCAAGAGAGGTTTCCTTTTGTTTGTGGCGCATAGTTTTCTGAAATTCCTTCCAAGAAGGTGGAAGTTTATCTACTATGCCACAAACAATAAGGTTATCTCCAATTTTTACCTCCTCGGACCTTAGCTCTCCAACAATCATTATAAAGTTTTGAGCTTGGTCTACCACTGATTTGTTGTCCACCATTTGAAAACGAAAAAATCTACTAGCATATTTTTTCGCTCCAGCCTCTTCGGTATCATACTTACTCTGCAACGCTTTCCAAATTTTCTTTACACTAGAGTAAGTTCTATCATAATAATCATAAAAATTATCAGATAGACAATTAAGAATATAATACCGACACTTATAGGAATCACTATCGTACTTTTCCACTTTCTCTAGATGAGAAATAATTTCATCATCATTCATAGAGGTGATGTCTACTTTATTAGGATTCTTCTCAGTTAACACATATGAAACATTGAGAAGACTCAAGTAGAAAAGTACTTTACCCTTCCATCTCTTAAAATGGTTACCATTGAACCGAAATGGCTTGTTAAGGTCTCCCATCTTGACATCCGCGGTTTTTTCAATTGTAGCCATGATGAATCTCCTTAAAATTGTTAGTGAAAACTTACAAGTTAACAAAAATACAAGATTACAATTGAAAATAAAAAATGAAGAAATAAATCTCTTCAGGCTGAGGCGCGGATATCTCGCTCTCTTTAAGGAGATTCAAGCCCACTGCAACAAATGTTTTCACCGGTCCAGCAGTAGTCCTTCTTGACTTGTCCCCTCCAGGATACAACAGTCTATTCACAATATATAACTCAACAACCCTGGACAAGAGTTGAGTTCAAAGCTCCACAAAAAGAACACCTTCCTTCAACTAATAAGAACTCTCTTTTTTTACTAACTCTTTCACTCTATATTTTTCTTGTGTGTAGTATATCCCAAACCAAATAAAGACTATCACTATTTATAGTTGAGGAAGTCTTCCTACCAATTGATAGGAAGATAATGGGTAGTAAATAGTGAAGATAAATGGCCTTAGGAGTTACATATGTTACAAGGATAATGGAGGAGTAAAGAATAAAATAATGGAGAAATAATGGTCAAATGCACCAACGGCTAAGACTGTTGCAAGAAAGGAATTGAATATAACACTAACTCCAACAAATGGAGTAATGCGGCAGTTAACTCCAAAATGGAGTAACTCACCAATTAAAAGACCACTAATGGGCAGTCCTTATTCCTTTCTGCAACATATTCACAAAGGCATAATAAGCCTAGGACATTCTATAACAATTTAATTAATATTAAAATGTTCAATAGACCAACATTATGATACTTTGAGAAAATCACGTACGTAACATATTAATACGCAGATTAATTAAAGTTCATTACATTACAGAATCAATTGCATACAAAAAATATTGATCACAATACACTCCACATTCTGATATAACCTAATCACTAGCTACATATAAAGCCAAAAGAGGGAGCAATAATCCTGTTGACAAGCTACAACCATATTTTTTGACACACTTATCATTATATTTATCTCTTCCATAGTTTTAATCTTTTTGTTTAAATATATATTTAGCAAGAGCAAGAAGATAGTTTCTTCATCTCACTAACTTCAAAATCAGGACCAGAAATAACATCAATTTTCAATCCTTTAAGCAATCCATTATTAGTCTCTTTGAGGTAATTTCCATTAGCACCAGAAGCGACCAACAAAGTCTTCCTTGATACCATGTGGAATATTTCTTCCAAAAGTTTAAAGAAGGCTGATTCCACATTGTGGCCGCTAAGAGCTGATGTCTCAGAGAAAAATAGGCCCTGCCTCTCTGCAAATTCAACCGCATCTTCAGTTGGAACAGCCCTCGAATCTACTAAATCAGCTTTGTTACCGATCAACATGATCACAATGGAACTATCGGCGTGAGCCCTGAGTTCCTCAACCCATCTAGCTACATGGTCGAATGTCTGTCTCTTTGTTATGTCGTAAACTAACATGGCTCCTAACGCTCCTCTGTAGTATGCACTTGTCACTGCTCTGTATCTGTTCAATACAGAGGACAATTAATTGTACTGACTTTAGCTCGAACTATATATACATTTAAAAAACATTACTATTTTTTCTATTTTCACATATTCAATCGAAGTATCTATGGAAATAACATTTTATAGAGTTGTGGCAACTCCATTGCTAAGTGATTGCACAAGTGTCGTAATGCAAGGTCCTATTGGGTTGAAAAAATGAACACACAGTGCGTATAGCAGTAGTCATCATGAAACTAATGTTGAGCTAAAACAACTCAAATTGTCCGCTTTTAGGCCAAACTTAGCTCAAAAGGTCTCACACAATCTTATATGTAGCTTCATTTTCTTTTTAGCTGACTTTGTTCGTACACCACCCAACAACTAAGTGGAAGTGAAGATGAATGAATCAATTACTAATGAGAAGAAGAGAGAGGCAAACCTTTCTTGTCCAGCAGTGTCCCAGATCTGAGCCTTAATCACTTTAGACTGAATAGAAACAGTTCTAGTCTGAAACTCAACACCAATTGTAGATTTTGAGTCAAAACAGAACTCATTCTTAGCAAACCTGGAAAGAACCTGAGTTTTCCCAACAGCAGAGTCTCCAATCACCACCACCTTAAACACATAATCTATTTTATCCTCATTATGATGAACCCCATTTACACGTTTCATTTGATCCTCAACGCCACTCATTTCTTGGTTCATCGTCTTGTTTCAATGTTCCAATCCAACTACTTGTTCCTGAAATTCTTCACACACAAAAATATTGTATATAGTGAGTAACCTGACATGAATTGTTTCAATTCGACCACTGAGTAAATGTGTATGTATGTTGCTGTGTTTTAAAATCTTCAATGTACTGTCCTGTCCATTTATGTAAAGATTGGTACTATGTGGATTAGTTTAATTTCTAATGTGGGGTCTTAATTTAAGGCGAAATACCCGGGAAAATGCGATGTAATTAGCCTTTCAAGAAAACAACTTATGATTATGGAGGGACCATAGTGCCTTATAATTTCAACAACCTTGTTCCAATTATTTAAGTTTTATTTTAATCAAAAAGCTAAAGTTAATTGGTTTGGTGTGTAGAACCTACACTATACAACCAAATGGGGGCCCTAAGCCGAAATAAAATGACAAAACCTCCGTAACTTTTGTTGCATCAATATAAATAAAAATAATATATATTCTGTGCATTTTAATTTGTTTGTCTGATTTTTATTTGACATAGAATTTAGCAAAAAAATAAAAAATTTGATTTTAAACTAAAGATATGTAAAAATGTATTAAAATATTCTTTAATCTTGTAGTCTGAATATGTCATAGGTTAAAACTTAAGTGTTAAAAAAAAGAGATTTTTTTCTAAATAGACTAAAAAAGACAAATAATACAAAACGAAATAAATAATATAACTGTCATATTCAATGAACGGTTGGTGCACTGAGCAGAGGGAAATAACATTTATATTTATGTACCTGCTTAGAATAATATTTTAATTATATTCTTTGACAGAATTGACTCATATGAATTCATGACAAAAGTCATTTCAGAAATAACTTCTACCAATTCGTTTTCTCTATCTGTATCTTAAGAAAAATCTCAACTTCAAGGTTTCAACAACAAAGAGTGCAAAATGAGGCTTCTATGCATACATAAATATTGATTCATTTTTTATTTCGAACAATGAGGGCAAAAAGGAATTAAACATCTGGAATTTCCATGACCCTTTCTTTATTACTGAGTTGACCCTTAGTTTTGCTAGGGGTTCACAATTAATATACATATATATTTATTTAGTTTTTTACTATAAATGCAGGATATACAAAAAAATTACTGAGTTTGTCTGAACCCACGAACCTCACTTAGCTCCACTCCTGGGTACAATTGTCTAACCGGGTGAAATGATTCGAAGAAAATCCCATGCATGGTTGTTTCTTTCCTTTAAATGATTTATGTACTTCTGAATAAAAACAAGTATCGTTAAAGATAACTAACATCATGTGTTTTTAGATATAATAAATTATAAAGACCAAAATGTTCCGTTTTTGATAAGTATAAAGGGCAAAAACAATTCTAACTGTTTTGATATTGTATACATTTTTTTTTGTTTCACCTGACCCTCTATTATTGTTGTTGAAAAAAGGATTCAAAAGAAAGTAATGGGCTAAACAGTTCCAGCAAATTCACGTGACTACAATAATGTAACCTTAATGCAATCTGATAACTCTCCCACAAAAGAGACATAATACTATGGCAGTAATTTGACATATTTTTCTAAAAGAACACTCATATAATTTTATATTTAGTAATTATTAAATTTTAAAATGTCAATTTCTTTCTTAATGAGATGATTTATAGTCATATAAATAATTATTACGTATTTTAAATCACAAATTTTAAAAATCTACTCAAATTTCTTAAATTTCGCTGCTAATCAAATTACATCATATAAATTGAAACGAAAAAAGCAGACGCACGATGAAGGCTAGTTTGTGTGGATCAAAGTGCCATATGCATGGTAACTGTAGATGAAGTAACAAGTCATGATTGAATGGTCAAAAGAGAAATAAAGCAGGGGGGATTCACATTTACTTGAGAGTGGCAGCACCGACACTATTATTTGCTAATTTATTGTCTAAATCAAAAACCATATTATTAGGGTTTGTTTAAATTAAATAAAGTAATTAACTTTAATAGTTGAAAAATTCAAGTTAGAATGCACAACTATGGTTAACATGTGATATGCGAGCTCGCTCTCTTACATCTCTCTATTTCAATTTGTTTGACCTACATTTCATTTAAAAAAATATTTTAATTTTTTTTTTCTTTTTAATAAGTAGTAACTCTTTAATTTCTATTGTGAATCAAGATGGAGTTTTCTTGTGTAGGCCCAAAATGGGCTTTTCATAATTGACACAGAAAGTTTCCAAATTTGAGCCGCATACTCTATTTGTCCAACAATAAATGTCAATGACTTGAAACATCCCTCAAGAAATCATAAATAATAAGGATCATATTACTTTATTATTCTTTAGTTTTATTAAATTTAATGTTTTGAAAAATGTGTTGAATGAAAAATAATATTTAATAGCAAGAGTAAAATAGACACAAAAAGTAATTAAATTACCTCTTGATTTTTCAAATTGGACAAATATTTTTAGTATATAGTGAATAACTATTATTGAACGGATAAAGTAGCTTACAACAAGTTTGTAAATTATCAGTGTCAACTGCCAAGCGACAGCCACATATAATAAGAAAAAAACTATGTAAATACGACAAAATTAAAGAAAATGGACTCTAAATGACCGGAATAATCGAAATTTCCTCATCCATCATCAATTCGTGTGTATATCTTACCTAACATTTTCGGATCAAAGGTTGATACCAATCCTCATGAATTTATCTTGAATTGAATTTTTTTTATCTCAATTTATGGAGAGAGCAACCCCATTTTTGACCCTAAATTGATCAAACTATGCGGACTTATAAACATTTTGAATTATGGTTACAAACAACATAATCAAAGACTTGACGATCATTTTTTTGTGATGGTTACAAACAGCACAATCTATCTTTTAATGGTTCAAATCACTTATTTTTTGCCCACAATACAAACTAGCAGGTCACAGTCAGAACTGGGCTGACAAAAGCGGGTCCAGAAAACGTTTCCTTCGGCCCAAAAACAACAAGCATGTGTTTGGTTCGGTGGTTGACAAGTTCTCCTCAACTCTCACTTACCCCTTTCCTACCACAATTCACCTAGTACATTTTGTTTTATTTTTTGTGTGTTTCACATATACATTTTATATTACTTAATAATCATTTTTTCCTTTCATTTGGGACTGTTTTGGTTAAGTTATTTGAATTAAGTGCTTCATGGACGTAAAAGTATATACTATTAATGTGGCATTGAGTGTTGTGTTAATGATGAGGAGCTGAGGCGAAGAATGGTTTTTTTGTAAAGGAAAATCTCACCACGCATCATACCATAATAGGAAAATTAGGATCAATCATCTTCACTTTTCTCCGACACAATTATTTGTTAGGTTGTAGCAAAGAAAAACTCTCTATATGTAAGCTCGTTCACATTGTCGGTCTCAAGTTTGAATAAAGGAGAGAGATTGCAAGGATCAATCGAAATAACCTCTCTATTCTATAACTATATGAATTAGGCTGTGTCTATCTTATCCTCTTCAAACCATACTTACGAAATTACACTAAATTTGTGGATGTTGTTAGTAAAGAAAACAAAAGACAACTAACTACTAACGTCTTTTAGGAGGGCAAAATAATAAATAGTACTTAATATTACAAGATTGAAAGAAAGAGGGGTTAAACGTAGTTTGGTAAGAAGTATAAGGAAGAAATGTAATTATGCAAGAAGTTTGTCTCGAAGCGGCGGGTGAACTCAGAAACCAACATCGAAACGTCGTAGTCACCGAGTTTCGGCCATGTCAATCTGCCCAAAGTTTGCCGGTCACCGACGGTGGGTCTACACCTCAATCAACTTCACCCACTTGTTCTCAACTACCGCCGGCGCCATCGCCAGCGCCGGCACCGCCGTTGATGACCCCTTCAAAACCCACCCGTCGTACCAGCACCTCGCTACCATCAAATCCAAATCGGAGCTTCTCCAATCCTACACCGTCACCCCACCCATCAAACCATGGCCCCGATACCTCTCCCATAAAAATCTCATCTCACTCGTCAAATCCCAGCATGATGTTAACCTTTCCCTCCAAATTTTTCACCACGCTGGCAACTTCCACCCTGGTTTTTTCCATAACTACGAAACCTACCACTCCATCATCAACAAGCTCTGTCGTGCTCGGGCCTTTGATAAAGTAGAGACCCTTTTAGCTGAATTGCGAAATTCCACCATCAAATGTGGGGAAGTTTTGTTTATTAATGTGATTCGGAACTATGGGATTGCTAGTAAGCCCAAATTGGCCCTTAAGACCTTTCTGCGAATTGAAAAATTTGGAGTTCAGAGGTCAGTGAGATCATTTAATGCTTTATTGAATGCTTTAGTACAAAACAAAGAGTATGATTTTGTTTACGCTTTGTTTAAGAATTGCCAGAAGAAGTTGCATATAACGCCCAGTGTGTTTACTTGTAATATCTTGTTGAATGCTCTATGTAAGAAAGACGATACTAATAGTGCAATTAAAGTTCTTGATGAGATGCCTGTGATGGGAATAGTTCCCAATGTTGTGAGCTACACAACTATTTTGGGCTGTTATGTATCACTTGGTGATTTAGTGGGCGCGAAGAGGATGTTTGATGAAATTATTGACAGAGGGTGGTTGCCTGATGCAACGACGTACACTATCTTGATGCATGGTTATGTTAAGCAAGGGAAATTTATTGATGCAGCTAAGATAATGGATGAGATGGAGGACAATGGGATTGGGCCAAATGAAGTGACGTATGGAATTATGATTGAGGCATTTTGCAAGGAAACGAAGTCCGGTGAAGCTGTTAATTTACTTAATGATATGCTAGATAAGAGGTATATACCAAGCCCAACACTTTGCTCTAAGGTGATTGACGTCTTGTGTGAAGAGGGGAAGGTTGAGGAGGCGTGTGATTTGTGGAAGAAACTATTGGTAAAAAATTGTACTCCAGATAATACAATATTGAGCACACTTATTCACTGGCTCTGTAAGAAGGGACAGATTTGGGAAGCAAGGAAATTGTTTGACGAGTTTGAGAAGAGTTCGAGTCCTAGTGTTTTGACATATAACATGCTTATTGCAGGGATGTGTGAGAAAGGAAAGCTGCATGAAGCTGGGAGGTTATGGGATGACATGGTAGACAAGGGTTGTGTTCCTAATGCTTTTACTTACAACATGTTGATCAAAGGTTTTTGCAAAGTTGGAAATGCAAAGGAAGGAATTAGAGTTCTGGAAGAGATGCTTGACAAAGGCTGTCACCCAAACAAATCTACTTATTCCATCTTAATCAAGGGGCTTCTTGACTCTGAACTCAACGCAGAAGTTTTACGGGTGCTTGCACTGGCTGCATCAGGTGATGTTGATTCTGAAACTTGGGGAGTCCTTGTGGCCAAGTTTGTTACTAATGTTCAAAATGTATGTTCCGTTTTGGATAAGACATTGTCAGAGAATGAAGTGTAAATGTTTGTTCTAATGTTCCTCATACCCAACATCTGATTCTAAAGTGGGAGCAAGCATGGTTCACAAAAGAATTACCCATTAATGAGAGTATTGTTCGTGCAGGCTCCCCCTGTGCAAACATTTCATAGTTCAGAAGAACCTTGATATTCTTTGGACGACAATGTCGGAGCCATTTGTGGAAGGAGGCTGGAAAATGAACATATGAAGCATGGGCTATGCTGTTTTATGACAACATAAAAGGCGTCAAAGAAGTAAAAGGGAATGGCTTTTTAACCATGTATACAGCTCTAGTACTGTATTTCTCTGAGATAGAGTAGGTTAATTAATATTGTTGGAAATTATGTCCTTATTATGTGTAAAGGAAGGACATACTTGGAGAATCAATCCCTTTGCTCTTTACATAAATATTTACACTACATCATCACGAAATGTCCTCTTCCTTTCTTCACATATAAGTAGAAAGAAAACTATGACCATAAGAAACTCTTCTTGCACTTGTCCAATCACATTACAACCAAAAGAAGAAGAAGAGAGATATCTATGGAAGAAAAGAAGCAAAGCCTTGAAGAAAAAATGTCTACTTAGAGATATGATTCTTATGCCAAGCAAACTTGCAAAAAATTATCTTGCTGCACATGTCAAAGTTGCTTCCGGAATTGTTCCAATATGTGGCCAAAATGTAGAGGGGATTTCATTTATGTCCATTTGATTAATAAAATGAATCAGGCGTTCTCTCCCTGGCCTTGTTGGTAATTTGCTGAGAAAAAAAAAATGCTTCATGAGGAGGCAAGCATCATAACTGGCTAAGATGCCTTTATCTTCTTCATTGAAGTTAACACTTTTGCTATTTCCTGAACTTCTTTCTTACTGCTTCTAGTATTTCTGTCTTGTTTACAAAGACTAATTCTCAAGACATCTTATATATTTAGCCTTTAGTCTATGACATCTAACATCATCCTGGTTCAATTCCAATGTATATCCATCTTTTAGGGTAGGGTAATTCCACTGAGTTCTTATATACCTAGTAGGGTTCCTATATCCTAGCACATACCTATAAAAATAGCTTCGTAATTTCTGCAGCAAAACTTAGCTTTTCTTCACCTCTATGATGGTCATGTGCAATTCATATGTATGTTATGAAGATTTGCACTCTAGAGATTTGTTTTTCGGATAATTGCATTTTTTGTCCCTCAGTAATTGGTAAAATTTGATTTTGATCATTGTGATCCCCAACATTGAACATCTAACCTTCAACAATTTTAAATGTTTGCTTTGGTCCTTCAGTAACAAACTCTCACAAAGCCTCGACTGCTTTAGCTGTATGTATACTTATTTTTTAGCATATCCACGTTTTGAGGATATTTGCTGAGATTGCTTGGACCTGTTGTTTTTTTGGCAAATACTCACTGCATGGTTCTTTCTGTGATTACTCTCCATGCTTTTCCTGTTTGATTTGTTTTTTATGGTTGTACATTAGATGATTTTGTCTTACTGATGTCAAAGGAAGTGGTCATCTAAAATTGTAGGGAAGTCCTTTATCTTCAATACACTTTACATCTTATTACTGTTTCTCAGTGATTGGAAAATAGCTTTGAAAAGGTCAGGAATTTTTTCATTAAGATTCTTGCTGGTACATATAGAGAACCACATTGATTTTGGTCCTAGATGCAATGGCTGTTAAATCTGAGGTAGTTGTATAAGTTATAACAATGGACAAATGGTACTTCTTGGTTGCAGAAAATTAACTGATGGACTCACTGAATATACCAGATAAATCTGTAAGTTAGCTGACGTTGTTGATCTTATATAAGATCGAAAGCAATATCGTGGGAGCTAACTGCAGGGCTAGCTATTCTGTAACCATATTGAACTGAAGTGTCTGGTAAGTTTTTTAGTCCTTTTGTCTGAATTCAAATTGGCTATAGGGTACTAGCCTCTTCATTTTTGGTCTCTCATCACTAAATTTTGCTGTAGGAGCAAGGAGCGAAGCAGTTGGAGTTCTTTTTATAAGGGTACCATTTCCAGGTATATGATACTGAGAACTCTCAAGAATCTAGCTCATCATAGTCCTTTCGCTCGTTCTATCTCATACAACATGACAGCAGCAGCTAGCTGATTTCAAAGTGCCTGTGTGGATTTGCAGTACTAAAGGTGTGTTGATTGTTTGTGGTTCAATCAAATTGTTAGTTTTATGGAAGCTTAAGCTATTGTATGTGTCACTTAAAACTTAAATAGTGATATCAAGAAGAGGTTTTCTTAACTTTGCCTCTTTTTTTTTTCCAGCATAAAGTAAATGGTTCCCTTCATCTCAACAAGTCAACTTGAGTACAAGAGCACGTTTCCATTGTACTGAAGGTCTATAAGAAAAGAAAAATAGCTCATCCTGTGGAAATCCTGACCTCGTGGAATGTTCTCTCTTCATAAAAGTCTTTTATGTATTATTTGACACATGGAACATCAAGTACGAGCAATACTGAAACAAAAGTCGTGCATGTTACACAATTCAGGTTTCAAGAGTCAAACATTTTATGAATACTATTGGTCACAAAAATTGATGTCATCAAATTTTTAGAAAAAGACTCATTTATGTCATCCGTTGAAAGTTTGGCTCATTTGTGCCATTGATGTTAAAGAAAAGGCTCATCCATGCCATTTTTCTTAACTCTGATTTTGCAAAATCATTTTTCCACCCCAAACTAGGTTTGACACTTTTTAATTAGAGTTTTTGGATTATATTTACACTTTTTGCTTCTTTTTCTTTAAGAATACCAAGAGCACATGAAGAACATAAACAACTCCCAAATTTTCAACATCTTCAATTCTTCATGAAATCATCTCAAATTTTAGCTACATCATTAATTTATTTATTTTTTAAAAAAAAACTAAAATTCTAAAATCATTTGTGGAGTTTAAAAAATTCACTCATATTTAAATAAATATTCTAAAAAAATGAAAATCAGTCCCAATTTTTTAAAATTTTGCTTTGATTCGTGTTTTTGAGTTGTTTTTTTTATATTAGATCTCTGTTGCCTAGTGTTTTTTGAGTTTATGTTCAAAATGTCAAATGATTTGAAGTTGTGGAGAAGATTCTATCATTAAAGAATTTGAAGTTTAGAAACATCGAAAGAATTTCAAGTGGGTCTTGTTGAGTTAGGTTGAATTCAAGCTCAAAAAGATATTGAGTTTTGGTATCTAGCTCGGAGGGAAACTATCCTTGAAATTTGAAGCGATTTCGTGAAGAATTGAACAAGTTTGAAATTTGGAAATTGTTAATGTTCTTTATGCGTTTTTGGTGTTCCTAAATAGAAGCAAAAATGTATATTTGATCCAAAAACACCAATTGAAAAGTGTTAAACCTTGCTGGGGTGTAAAAAATGGTTTTGCAAAACTGGAGTTTAAAAAAAATGGCATGAATGAGCATTTTCTTTAACAACAATGATATAGATGAATTAATTTTTTAACGGATGACATAAATGAACCTTTTCTGAAAATTTGATGATATATTTGAGACTTTTCCCTGTAAAATATATGAAAAAATTAGAATCAAACTAAGATTTGTGGAAAGAATAATTTTCTTCTGCAACTTGTGCACAATGGTTTCAGTTAAAAGTCCTCCAACAAGAAAAGGAGAATTTCTTATCGGCCGCAAGCCAATAATGGGAACTCGTATGTGGAGCAGAATTGGCCGTTTTTAGTCTTCTTGTCATACTAATTTTTCAAACTTGTAACCTTTATGTTTTTCTTATTGGAGATTTTTAATTTTATACCTTAGATATCTAAAGTAATAAATAAGTAACATTTGCCAAATTGAAAGTGAAGATAGTCATTTAGTTCTATTGATTTTAAAATTCGTATGAGATTTTTGTACTTTAAATTAGTTGCATATTAATTCAAATAAATATTGTTAGAATAATGTACTGTAATTAAAGTATTTAAGTTTTATATATATGAATTTAATTAAAAGTTCATTTTATTTGGGTTTTATCCATCCTGGAATGCAAATGAATAGCCCATTCCAAATTACATGGGGTACGAAGTCAAGTAAATAAAGATAAAACATGTCAATATACTTCTTTTCTTTTTTTGGGTTTTTGTTTGCATTAGAGTATCATTTAGAGAAAACACTTTCTACTATAGAATTTTTCATACTCAAAATTATGAAAATCTCTAATTAAAAAAGGATTTATCTTCTCCAAATCCATTAATGATAAACATGTTACATGTCGATACACAAGTGACATATTTTGTAGTTTTGTCAAATTGGATGTGATCTTTTACTGGTTCAATCTGATTAGTCCTAAGAAAAATAATTTCGAATTTCTCTGTCCCAATGATAAAATAGAGTTGTGTTTAAGCTCAAAGGATCATTAAAAATCACAACTGAGAGGTCTAAAAAATAAATACTTCCATTTTTTTCCAAGTATCTAAAATTAAGAAAAAAGTTGAGATTTAAAGTAATATTCAAAATTGTGAATTTAAATCATCTATTTTGTGACAGCTAAATTCCACCTTATTCGTGACAATTATATCAAAATATTTGTGATGACAATACAAGTTCGAGATCACGCTTTTAGGTATTTGAATCGGACCAAATTCATCAAACTAAGATGAAGTTGAAAAGCTCATACATTTAGTTTTAAAGAAAAACTCACATAGACTTCTTAAAATTGACATACTTTGAAGATCACAACCCTCATCATTCTTGAAATCAAATACAAATTATAACTTATTATAATTTGTTATTGTACAATTCTTTTGTTCATAATTTTTATGTGGTGTGAAATTAGGTCTCAGGTGGTATCTCATTAAATTTCTAATGTGAGACTTTTGTCACCCCACTTCATGTCTGTGCTTATTTCTTATGAGAATTGTTCAAGCCTTATAAGGAGTCCATCCATCTCATTAACCAACAATGTGGTACTTTTTTCATTCTTTAACCGTATAGCTCAAAAAACTCAAAAGTAAATAAGAATATAAGGTGATCGACAACATTAACATAGGTTATTGTGGGACGATTAAACTCTTTAATTAAATTTTTTGAATTTAAGCTCTTGGACACTGAAAAAATTATACTATTAAAATG